CCCCAAAACCCCAAAACCCCAAAACCCCAAAACCCCAAAACCCCAAGATTGTAGAAAATAATTGAATAATCTTATTGTGATCTATTGTCGTAATAAGGGATGAATATTGGTAGAAATTGGATATCTTCATTTAATTCCATGGTAACGTGACACTATCATATAAACAAGGGCTATCACCTCTAAAACCTTAGAGTAGCTTCAAAAGGGTGAAATAGCTATAGATATATGCTTTCGAAAGCGGTCACTTAATATAAAGTCCTACTTGATGTAATTACAAAGAAATTCATAGCTCTGATTTTGAGTAAAGAAGTGGCTCTCATAGCTTATATAACTTATCTAGTTGTTAAGAATGAGTCGGGTTCTCAGCTATCTATACAAGTTCATCCTCTCCTAAAATGAGAGAAATAATTTAAAAGAAGTTGTAGACCCTGAGTCCGTCGGAATTTAAGGATTTTGATCTGTGACGTTCAGAGAAATAAACCCACAAACACTGAAAAATTGTTAATAACTTAGATAGAAGGGGAATTTAATGGTGTAAAAATATGGAGTTAAAGCAAGGAATGGCTCTTCTCTCTGCCTCCAAACTCCTCAAGATGGTCTAGGGTATTCTGTTCTTTCATTGCGAAACTGAATTTTCCTATCGATAATGTTAGATCCTGACAATATGCTGCTACCATTTTGGATGAAATATCAAAGAAAGACTGATGAAAGCAGATTCATTATTCACTTACTTAATTTGTCGACAACTTCTAAGTCTTTGCAAATGCGAGGATCTCTGGTGTATCTCCTGATTGCTCTGATGTTTCTGGCAGTCTTCTGCCTAAAATCTAAATCGCTCACTACTGAGTTATTGGAGCTAGTACTACAAGAGAGTTCTTCAATTTGTGGAGTTTCTTCCAAAATATTTTTCATTGCAAACTTTGAATTTTGTTGTGAAACTTGATTTCCATTTTCTCTATAAAAAATTGGTAGAAACAAAGTTAGCTTCAGATAAATAACGTGAAATTGTGATGTTTTCAAGTAAAATATATCAACGTGAAGAAATCAGTGGCTGAATCCATGATGTCTGTCACGTGACATTTTATAATATTAGGCACCAATGGAAATGCGGTGAATAAACATTTGAGGATAAACACTCCAAGAAATATCCAAGAGTGTGGACGAGATTAGAAGATAAAGAACTTTAATTACCTTGCCCTAAACTCGTTGACACTTCGGAAGTAGTTCTCTGGGAGATCTTTCTTTTCCTCTAAGTTGTCTTCTTTAGGTCTCATTGTGTTCCGTTCTTGTTTAGATTTCACATACCTAAATTCATCGTCATTGTAGTCCTTGTGTTCTTCCCGAGGTTTTACATGCTGTTCAGCAGAATCGACAGTATTAAAAAATTTGGAAGAACTTTCTTTATGTTCAGTTTGATCTGTAGGCTCAATTTTAGCTTGCTCTTCTTCGCTGTCAGAAGCCTTTATAACTGAGTATTGGTTGACTTTGACAGCTCCTTCATTTCCTGTGACCTCATCGTAGTCGATGTGGGGGCATTTGAGATGCTGATTAGAATCCTTTTCAATTTCATCTTTGCATCTTTTACAAGTATCTACTGTGTTAAATCAGAGACGTTCTCCAGTCTCTTTAGTTGGGCGAGGAGTATGCTGTTCAATAATATGATTCACTCTATTCCACTCTTTGATGGGCTTCTGCATCCTCAACTTGCATCGCTCACAAAGATCTTCCAGCACTGTCTGTGATGAACACTCTCTACAGTAATCTCGCATGACCACAGTCACCTGGAACTTTCTGTGGAACTTCTTGCTAACCAGCACTGAGTCCGGCGACATCTGGTTCCGAGGAATCACCAGCTCGTTGCCAACGAACCCTGTGTTGATTGAGAATCTACAGATGTTTGAAGTGCTTATCGGCCCTTTGTGTTTAATGAAGAAGTGGGCATCACCAGCAATCACCAAGTTCTTCTTGTCTGGAACAATGCGGATGATGTTAAACTCTTCGGTTTCTGTGAGTCCAGCTTTATACTTTTTCAGATTGATAGAGTTCTTAGTAGAATGAACCAGCTGGTAGTCACCGTTTCAAATGTCGACATATGGCTTTCACCCATTCTGGTTGATTTTAGGAATGGTTTTGATGATGATACATTCCAAGACTTTGGGAACTGATCACAACACTTCACGCTTCAGAGCAGCCTCGAAGTAGTGGATGTAACGAAGTTGACATGGCTGGCTGACTCCTCGGCCGGTGCTGAATCGTTTCCATCCATAATAGTTGATGGCATCAGCTGAGCAACCAGCAAGTCCTCAGTACATAAGGAAGCAAGCGATGGATGTTCCGGTTCTTCCTTTGCCAGCGTTGCAATGTACTACTACAACATTGTCATCATTTTGTTGCAAAAAGTCATACATGCGTTTGCAAGCTTCGAAGAGGACAACAACTTTAGGAGCATGGTGGTCACGCCAGTCATAAGATTCGACTCTGTAATCAAACTTTGAGTAGTCATATTTTCTATCGCTGAAATTAAAGACCAAATAATTATCACCATGTTTCTCTTGTAAAAACTTGGCAACTTTGCAAATGGGATTTCTATAGATTTTTTCCACTCCACAAGCAGGAAAAGACATTGCAATAATCCTAGGCGTCACATAAGTAATATCCAGGTTGTAATGATCTTGGGTATATCTGTTCCTTTTTCCGGATGCTAACTTCCTGATCAAGTTCATTTTTATAATAAAATATTATTCAAATATTAATTATCTACCTGGGGTTTTGGGGTTTTGGGGTTTTGGGGTTTTGGGGTTTTGGGG